TTTTTTTTATGTTTTTGAAATAAGTCGCTTATGCTCACCAAGACTGCATTTATTTTATTAAAAATACAGCAGAAAGGTAATATTATGAAATATTACAATTTAAAATAACTGTTTTCTTAAAAAAATTTAATTTATTCCTGTGATGGCTAAGCTGAATTTAGAATTTATTCCTGTGATGTTAAAGCTTAATTTCACCATATTTGAATGATTTCTGAAGGATCACGTGACACTGATGACTGGAGTAATGGCTGCTGAAAATTCAGCTTTGCCATCACAGAAATAAATTACATCTGAAAACAGAAATCACTTATATTAAATTGTAATAATATTTCACAATATTACTGTTATCTCTGTGTTTTTGATCAAATACATGTAGCCTTGGTAAAAATCTTAATTATTCAAAACTTTTGACAGATAGTGTATCACAAACTAATTTTTTATTCTAGGGTTCTATAAAATTCATTCAAGCGAATTTGAAGTAATTATTAAACAGCTCTCTGAAATACTTGATTCTCATCAATTCTGGTCAATAATAACTGCTAAGCTGTATATTTGACTGTTGTCCATGGCAAGATACCGTTGCTATTTTCCTGTCTCTTGTATAACTCCGTCATCTGTTTTCATACCAACTTAGAATAGCTCATTGGTGCCGTCTTGTGACTCAAAACTGGAAGACTTGAGTATTAATTTAATAATATGGTGAGGATAAACCTTTGATAGATGACTAGAAGCAAGAAAATGAAACCATTGCTTGGAAGAACAACTAACTGGTAAGAGACATAAAGAGCTGGATGAGAGAAAACTTAAAATAGATAAAGTTACATTTTACATTGTAGCTTATTATGTTAAATAACTAGTCCACAGAAGAAGTAATCTACATTTAACATGAATAAGAAAATATAAATTAATATTATACTATCAAGGAGCATTTATTTTGTTGACTGTTTCACTGTTCTAAGTAATAATTAGCTGTTTTCTTTATAGCAAAAGCTAAGTTAATCTATAAGTAAGATAATAAAATCAGATCAGTATTTCTTATGCATGTATTTATTTGTTTGGTAAATAAGCAGGATAATGTACTGTAGTGTTAGCCAGTCATTATGGGAAAACAAACCCCTCCAGATTTAAACAGGTGGTACCTGATCCCCTGTCTGTGTTAATATTTTCCGAAAATTACCTGCTGACTGTATATTGTGCAATTAAGTCTCATTTCTTGTAGAAGTGACTGGAGTGAGTAGCTTTTCCTATGAACACTGTGGCTGTCTCATTTCCATTTATCAGAACATCTGGATATTTCTGTGTCATACCACATGTCTCAGATACACAACAGAAATTTGACGTGCCATGAACAATCGGACCAGATCATAGCACCTAATTTAGCAGGTAGAATAATTTAGTGTCATATATCAGGGCTTTTCTATTTAGGTCTTTTCAGTAGATTATATGATTAGCTACTACACACTTGGTTTGGAGGTTGGGTATATCTATCCAACATCAAACATTTATATTTAATTTAAGAATGGACATGCCAGCAATGAATGGCATTACAGTTCTATCACAATAAAGAAGTCTTAAAATCCATTAAAAAGGCCATGCAACAAAGTATTAAATGAGAAACTTGAAGCAAATGTTACAAAATTAGCTGGAAATACAGATCGTCTCTACATTTTTTAATGTCATTCGTTTCTCGCTCCTTGGCCTCTTCTGTCTTCTGCCTTCATGTCTGCCAGTAGTACTTCTTTCTTTCTTTTTCTTTCTGTCCGTCCGTCTGTCAAACTCCACTGTTTGTACCCCAGTCCCTCATCACTCATCCTTTCAGCAGACTTGCCAAACATCATATTGACAGTGTACATTTTTATTGTTTGTATTTTTCAATTTTATGGAATCAAAACAGCAAGATAAGCTGAATTTCGATTAATTTCTGGCAAGTTAGTGAACATGAGTGAGTGTTATGAAAATGATATCCCTATGTTTTTTTTTGGGCATCTGTGGGTGTGCGTCTGTGCGTGGATGTGTGTTTTGGAATGAGTTGGTGTTTCCTGACTTACGAGTACATGTCTGTGCTGGCCTGACACCAATGTTGCCCACCATCTTTTCTCTTGCAGAATACGGCAGTGCAGGTGAGAGGTCCAGGAGGGCGAATAAAAGAAACATCGGTAGATACACAATATCTAAATTTACTGCCAAAACTAGGCATTACACCCATTCCTGCACCCCTCACAATGTCCAGGGTGATGTTCTCGCCTGTAGTAGAGCTAAACAGTGCTTAGGCCTTACCGAATAAACAATCTAAAAACCGGCTTTATAGATCCAGCTAAACTAAACTCAACATTGCTGTGAAATCAGAGCATGACCTGATTGTTAGGTCTATTACTATCTCTCAGGCCACAGTCACTTGCATGTATGCAAACCTTCAAAACCCCGCACAAATCACTTTTTAGGTTTTCCTATCATACGTGCTATTGATTTTCCCCCTTTTCATCTTGTAAACATCAATGCTTCCTGCTTCCGTTTATTGTTTGGCACTTATGGCTGAGCCTCAGTGATTTTGCCCCGACATGGCAGCCAGGTCACAGTTTTTCCTCTGAGGTGACTTGTTTGTGTTTGCAGACAAGGCTGGCTTCGGGAACAACTTCACCACTGGAGGAGACAAGTCTCTGGCCCAGAGCATGGGAACTGTGGTGGTGGGCTGCATGTTCAAGTCTCTCATCACAAGATGTGCCTCCACTACACATGAGCTTCACAGTTCTGAGAACCTGGTGAGAGTACTGCATTTAACTCATGAGTTGCCAAAAGTTTGGGCTTGAGTTTACATTTGGTGAAAGTTACACTAACCAGGCACCATACAATAAAACAACAAGTGAAAAGGCGTATCGTTGCTAATTCAATGTTAATAGTATCATGTAAGCAGCATGTTTAAACATGGAAATATGAAATCCCATATCCTAAAACAACACACTTATCTCTGGTGACGTATATCAGGCTTCTCCAACCATCAGTCTGTGTAACCCTATCCCTTTCTTATAATAGACTGTAAGTTCACATTTAGATCTGCCTCAATCCAATCAACAAATAACAACTACTCTACATTTTTGGAGGACAACACACATTAATCAACATTTCTGTAAATGTGCTACTGTTAGCCAGCAGGCTAATTTTCAAGTGCAGTCTTTTGGCAAGATGTTTTGAAACCTTTAAAAAAAAATCTAAAAGTATAACAACCAAAAACAGCAAAAAAAAATCAACACATTAACACAATTAAAAACAATCAACTAGCCATGCAAGCACACAAAGCGACAACACACAACCTTCAGTAGGTACATGAAGGCATGCTGGGAAAACATTAAACTTACATAAAACACAGCAGACACAATTATGGGTTAATAAAATAAAAACACACACCTAAATATAACATCACTATAAAAGAGCATACCAGACAATTAATAAAATACTAATAAAATAATCCAAACATACCCAAACCATGCATTTGGCTGCCTGAAAATGAGCAAAGGACATGAAACATGTTAACAGCGGGTTAAATAATAACAGTAATAATAAAATGAGCAATAAACTACATAGATTAAAATTTATCACGTCTGATTTTTTAAAAGCCAGGCTTTAAGACCTTGTCTGAAGGAGTGGTACAATTTGTTATTTCAATTGGAAGTGTGGAACTGAAAATAATTTCACAGTCCCCTCTCTGAGCGGATCTTGTAGATCTGTTGTTTAAAATTTTCTGCTTAATAAACATACTAAGTGGTGGAGGAGCTTTTCCATTTAGGTTTTTAAACATCAGAGAGTGTATTTTGTTGGATTTTCCCAGTTAAGGATATCGTATTTGCCCAAAATATCGCAGTGGTGTATTGGGTTTTGCAGAAGTATTGGGTTTTCTGTCAAACACTTAATATATGCCTAGTTCTTGTACAAGGAGAGAATAGGCTTCAGTGTTGTACCTGTAGTTTGAGACCAAATTGTCATACAGTATGTTAAGTGAGGGATAATCATTGAATAAATGTATATATAATTTTGCTGCTGTAGTTGTTAAGCAGTTTCTTATATACCTAAAATTATCCAGATTGTATTTAGTTATTTGCAATACTTTCTTCACTTGTTTTTTGGATTATTTTTCAATAATCCATTTTAATCAGATGTAGGTCACAATACAGAAAAATAAAATAATTTTGCGTCATGATTACGTGATGATGTCATCGCGCAATGACATCACAACGTCATTTAGCAACTTTTAGCAACAAATCAACCTTCGTTTGGCAACTTCCCCTGAAAATGAGTTCAAAAAATGACAATTTTTTTGTGGCTGGGATCTTGACGGATCTGGTTAGGACAGTTTTAGCACTAGTTTTACTTTGAGTGCTTCTATGTGTATAGACTATGTAAAATGAATTGCTGATAATTACCTGTGCAGATAAAGCACTCCATTGTTCACAAAAGAATAAATATTTAAATCTATATTTCTGTTTTCTATTTTCCATCTCTCTCTTTTCACACATTCACACTATGACTGTCTCTCCTTACATCTAAACACACAAAAATCAGGGCCTGTATTGTGACATACGTCAGCTGGTTCAGTTTATTAAGGAGTCCCATGGAAATGTCTTCCGACGTGTGGCTCTCAGTGCCCTTCTGGACAGTGCTGAAAAACTCAATACCACTAAAAAAACAGACGAAAAGGAGGAGACCAAGCCATCTTCAGCAAAAAAGTACATTCATAAATATAACATATTCATGATTCGTATGAAGACATCAATGAATATTCTGTCATGACTCGACTGTGTATTGAGCTGTTTGCTTAGTACACTTAAACATGTATTTGTAAATCAATTTGAACAGTTTAAAATATTTGAAATGCATAAATCAAATATATGCATGGACTGAGTTTGTGTGTATCTGTTTCTGTCTATCAGTGAGGAGCAAATCCCAGGAGCACTTTTAGGAAGGAAAGACTTTTGGAGGAAGATGTTCAAATCTCAGAGTGCCGCCAGTGATACAAGCAGCCAATCAGAGCAGGATACGTCAGAGTGCACCACTGCCCACTCTGGTACTACCACAGACCGTCGTTCACGATCACGTTCCCGACGGATTTCACTACGCAAGAAACTCAAACTGCCCATAGGTATGTTTTTGTGAGAGAGAAATTCTTTACAAACATAACCATAATTGTCTCTGTTCCTTTGTTTTCCCATACAAAGCAGATAATTACAATTTGACTTCATGCCCTTGGCTACCCTTTCTCTGAATTACTTTAATTACAGAATTACTGTATAAGCAGGATTCAGGTTTCATAATATTCCATATTATGAAATACATTTACTCATTAAACAGCAGCTAAATACAATACATTTTAAACAGCAGCTAAACAGTAAGTAAAATAGAAAGTACAGTAAATACATTTACCTTAACAGTTCAAAATTGATAGTAATTTGATCTCTGTAACCTAATAACTACAAATCTATCATTTCCATACACAGATGATTCTTTAGGAATCATACTCACTTGAATTTGTTCATAACAAATGAAGATATGCATTCTCTTTAATGTGTTAATGTCCATGCAACACATAGGTAAGATTATAAAAGTTCTTTCTGGTACACAACCTTATGCATATTTTTATGATAAGAATGCTTGTAATATGAGAGATTGTAAAATTAAAATTAGGACTTAAATCAACCAATAAACTGTATTTTAACTAGAGTCTTCAGTTGTAATTGGTTTACTGGTGTGTTAGGGATCTGAATGTTATGAAAAATCATTCATATCTCTGTTCTTTCCTTTTCTGTCACCAGCATGCCATAGGAAAGTTAGCCATCCACTCACTCTCTCCATGTTACGTATGTGTGTTGTGTTTTAGCAATGCAGCCTCATCATACAGTGTCATAATGGAAGCTTTAGTTTGAAAAACATATGCATTCAAAGGTTTATTTATTTTTAATACTTTTATGTACCGTGAGAGTGTGTGTTATTTGTCCATTTTTGTGTTTATGCTGTATGAGCTGGAGCACCAGCATGAAATCTTCCCTCTTACATTCCTTTTGGCTTGTTTGCACTAAAGGGTACCAGAGTGCAAACCTGAATAGGTCTCAGAGTTACCAGAGTGCTAAACTAACTTTATTTCATATAACCATTTAACTTGTGGAACAGGAAACTGGCTGAAACGCTCCTCTCTATCTGGTCTAGCTGATGGGGTGGAGGACCTGCTGGACATCAGCTCTGTGGACAGACTGTCCTTTATCAGACAGAGCTCCAAGGTGAGGGCAAATCTCTGCATTTACTGAGTAGTAAGGTTAGAATAGTTGGTTAGGATGGTCAATGACAAATAAGAGTGTCCATGATAATAAAAAACAAAATCTAGTTTAGAACTCATCTGCAAAGTTCTGTAATATTATCCATGTAATGTAATATTATCCATGTTGGTTTGGTATAGATTCATACCATTTTCAGGTTTAATGAGTCTATATTGTCATGTGGTGTTACCATCAAGTAAAGAGTAATCAAATACTTTCCTTTACACACTTTCTTTGAATACATGTTATATTTCCCCTCTCTAAATAAACGAAAATGAAAATGAATCTAATTCAAAATTTTAACAAAAACCATAGTATATCAATGATATTGTATATCAGTAATACTAAAATAGCACTGCCTTGACGGTTTTAATTTTATGCCCATCAAAAATGTAAATAAAACATAAAAAGTAATGAAAAACATGCTCATCAAAAATATATATTACAGTCATTATATGTATGAACACCATTTTTGTATGTACATTTTAATTTTTTCAGTTTTAGTTATTTAGTACATCAAGTTAAACTAAATTAAAATGCAAAATGTTTCCGTGGCAACTAGATGAAATA